TGTCGCGCCCTGGGTTTTTGTGTGGGGGGGGGGGTGTGGCTTAAGCTCAACGCAATCTTGCCGGGGTACCTTCTGATGATGACGGTGCCTCGAAGGCAAGAAGTGGGTTGGGTGGGCTTTAGAGACCCGGCCACTTTGTCCTGGAGGTCCTCACTGCTCCCGTCTAGCACTGACTCCTGTGATTTGTCCACCATTGACTTGCAGGCCGGTCAGTACGGTGTACCCCAGACACGCAGACGAGCCATCGTACTTGCTGCCGCCCCGGGAGAGAAGCTGCCCATGTTCCCCGAGCCGCTGCACGTGTTCGCACCCCGCGCCTGTCAGCTGAACGTCGTCGTGGATGAGAAGAAATACGTGAGCAACATCACAAGGTCAGTGCGACTTAAAGATTGTGCAATTCTGAGGTTTAGGGAAAAGAGTTCAATAAGGTTCTCCTTCCCTATTGTGGTTTCTGATGGGATCGCTAGTCTGCTGCTCCACCCTAATGCAGAGCACCTGTTAATGGTGCTCTGTAGTGGCATCTAAAGGCAGATTTTGCTACAGCAGAAGAGCGTGGAGATGGACCTTTTTGAGTTTCTGTGACAGTGACTAGTAATGCTGCTTAAAGGAGAACTGTCACTCACAGCTCCCTGCAGGGATTCCCCCACCTCCCCGCTTCGATACTCCAGCGCTGACTGGCGGAACGGGAGGGGGCAGATACAGCTGGCTCTGCCTCTGGATAGGCAGAGCCAGCTGTCACTCACGCAGCTGGGTGGATCTTGACAGTAATATCGGGATCTGTCCAGGCTGCGGCGGTCTCGGTGTATAGCGGGTAAGGAACGTTTCAGACCGTGTCGGCTTTATACATGCCGGGTTTGCTTTTATTTTGCCATTTGTGTAACTCGTAATCTGAGCCGACCTGTGACAATGAGACTGTCACAGGTCGGCTCAATAGATCGGGAAGTGAGAGCACATACCGGCGCTCGCTTGCTTCTCGGATCATCTCCCTGCAGAGTGCCTTGACTGTCGCTCACGGCTCCCTGTAGGGATTCCCGCTCCGATCCTCCAGCGCTGACTGGCGGAACGGAGGGGGCGGGTACAGCTGATTAGGCAGAGACGGCTGTCAATCACACAGCTGGGTGGATCTTGACTAATGTCTGGATCTGTCCCGGCTGTGGCGTCTCAGTATGCCGCGAGCTGCAGCTCCCTATATACTGAGCCTAGGGTGACGGGAGGACGCTAGTTTGTGTCCTCCCGTTACCCTTGGGAGAACTATGAGGAAATACACTGGCCGCATGGTTCTCTAATAGACTGGATATTTTTATACTGCTTCCCCTCGCCCGGATTGTTGTGCTGAAGGACTATGTAGGTGTAAATGTTGGGATTCTGACGGGTTGGTTGCCCACAATGATCCGGACCCTGAACATGGAATGTTTTTGTCTTCTATTGAAGGACGAACTCCAGCCTCTTCAGAACCATCACGGTGAGAGATTCCATGTCGGACCTTCCAGAAATCCGCAACGGAGCAGCAGCTCTGGAGATCTCCTACAACGGTGAACCCCAGTCCTGGTTCCAGAGGCAGATTCGGGGCTCGCAGTACCAGCCCATCCTCAGGGATCACATATGTAAGGTGAGAGGAACTCTGAATCCGGTTTTCGTTACATCGGGCCAACTTTGTACCTTTCCACCGCGAGGAGATGTTGTGAAGATGTTATTAGGATGTGTTTAGTAGATTGTATATGTGAATATGTCGCCATGTCTTTCAGGTTTGCTGGGCGGGGCTCTATGGGGCGTGGGCGGGATTAATCAGCACTGAGTGTAAACAATTGGAGTGGATCTCTTCCTATGGATGGGGAGACGTGGCCGCTATGCGCAGGGGGTCTCCGCTGGCGAATAGTCCATGTGCTATGCACGGGGAGATTAATGTGCATTGCGGAGCGGTGTCCTCTTCGCAAGTGTGTGGACGCCGACGAGGGCCCCTGCGTAAGGCGCAGATTTAGTCGCTTGGCGTGGATGCATTTGCTTTAAAGACGCAGTATCAGACACATCTACCTTTTATGATCGGAACGTACGCTTGCGTTTGGTGCGTCTGATCAACGCTCTGGAAATAATATGGCGTCGTCCCTGCAGATTACTAAACTCGCATTCATGAGAACCGTAGTATAGTACTGCTAGGCATTGTTCACTGGTAGAATTCACGCCAGTGGCGGGAGTATATGCGCGGGTCTGGTCGCAACGACGTCTATAGCACGCTGACTCCTTTTGTGGAAGTGTTTTGGCGGGAACTCCATTGCACATGGTTTTCCCATTAACTAGTGTGCACGGAATTCACATGCACTAGCAGCTGGAACTGTGCACATTGCTGCTCCACGTGCACAAGCATACACTCCCCTTTCTATTGTGCAAGTGCATACATGTGTCTCATTGGCTGACTCTGTTATTATATAAATGTATTGAGGAATTGATTGGCTGTTGGGGCCCACACTTCCTTCTCTTATCCCTGTGCATAGACGGATCTCGCTGCATTAGGCAGGACTGATTTTTCTGAACAATGTGAGTCTGTCTTTGCTTGGTACCGCTGAGCGCGCTCCATCATATTATTCAAGGAGAGCTGAGAACTTCTTTATAGCGCAGCGGATTTCTATGCGCAGGAGCGTATATTCATTTCCAGAACATGGAAGAAATGAAGTTGTATACATGTCTGTCTTTTGCTATAACAGCCTACTGTCTGTGAATTTGAGCTCTTGTAGATTTCTGATGAGCGCCGCCCTATGGAACACCGACATGCTGCGCTGCCTTCACTTCAGCAGTATTGCTATGGATGCCGACTATACCGGTTCTCTTTAATATTTGTCAAAAATGCCCGACTCTGTCATCTGCGTTTTTTGTCTATTCGCAGGATATGAGCGCCTTGGTGGCTGCCAGAATGAGACACGTACCTCTTGCTCCTGGCTCTGACTGGCGAGATCTACCCAACATGGAAGTCCGCTTGTCTGATGGAACGACCACACGGAAGCTGCGCTACACTCACACTGACAAGAAGAACAGCCGCAGCAGTCCCGGAGCTCTCCGCGGCGTCTGTTCCTGTGCTGAAGGTAGCCACAAAAATCCTGTTTTTTTTAAACCCGAAAGCTGGCTGG